ATGTAACCCCCCTGCAACATTCCCAGGTCAAATCTGCCCCACTCCCTGCTCTGTCACATCTCTCCCGCCTTCGAGACTGAACTGAGCGGGGTTACTTCGACCAGTGACCTGGGGAAGTTCACGGCCCCCTTTTTGGAACAACGCATTTGCTATTAGGTTGGCACTTTTTTTTACATGGACCACGTCCATGTTATAATTTTGCAGGCGCAGGCTTTACCTTAGGCGCTTGGCGTTGGCTCCTTTCATCTGGTGCAGCCAGGTCAGAGGAGAGTGGTCAGTGTACACGGTGAAGTGTTGCCCAAAGAGATACGGCTGCAGTTTGTTAAGGGCCTACACCATGGCCAGGCATTTTTTTTTTTGGATGGCCGCGTAGTTTTGCTTTTGGGGTAGCAGCTTTTTGCTTAGGTACACGATGGGGTGGGGTGTTTTTGCATTAACTCCGCCCCCGGTCCCGTGTCTGAGGCGTTGGTGAACACCATAAAGGGCTTGTTAAAGTTTGGGTTTGCCAGAACTAAGTCATGTGCTCCAGCCCCCTGATCATTTTCATTGCCCTCCGCTGGACTCTCTCCAATGTGTCCACATCCCTTCTGTAGTGGGGGGCCCCAAACTGGACGCAATACTCCAGGTATGGCCTCACCAGTGCCGAACAGAGGGGAATAATCACAGTTCCACCAGTGCAAGTGCTCCCAGTGAGGACATGCACCATCGACACAAGGAGCAAAATGTAGACACGCACACAAGCGAGGTAATTACTGCGGTGGCTGTACGCCAGCCTAAGCGAGGGCAATTGAATTTTGTAGTGTAGACATGCCCTCGGGTGTCTAATGTGAAGATGGACTGACACACAGAGCTGGATGAATAACCAAAAAAATGAATTTACAAATAAGTGGTAGACAAAATATCCTCAATAAATGTCAATTACAATGAACTGCTTGACCAGTTTCACTCATTACAAAGACCTACAAAAGGATCTCACAAAACTGGGTGACTGGGCAACATAATGGCAGATGAAATTCAATGTTGATAAATGCAAAGTAATGCACATTGGAAAACATAATCCCAACTATACATATAAAATGATGGGGTCTAAATTAGCTGTTACCCCTCAAGAAAGATCTTGGAGTCATTGTGGAGAGTTCTCTGAAAACATCCACTCAATGTGCAGCGGCAGTCAAAAAGCAAACAGAATGTTAGGCATCATTAAGAAAGGGACAGATAATAAGACAGAAAATATCATATTACCTCTATATAAATCCATGGTACACCCACACCTTGAACACTGCGTGCAGATGTGGTTTGCCTCCCAGCCTGGCAAAACAACTGTGTCACTTTGGACTGGCACCAGAAAGTCTTGTGTGTGTGTGTGTGTGTTTATCTAGGAAGCCGCTGTCACCTGCCTGTCGAGACCCCCCTGAATTGGAGCATTATAGGCATATAAATAAATATTTCACTAGCCCAATGTGTACTCCCGTCCCCACACTGACCAGGGTACATGCAGTGCTCAGAGCATTATTACCTAGCTGCTAAGTGTCTAGCACAGGGCAAGGGGTGGAAATTCTTTTAAAGTTTCCAGAAATGATCACATATCTTACACAACACTAATGGAATTTTAATGGGACCCATAAGGGCGGCCAGTTCAAATCAATTATTTAAAACAAAACAAAACCCCTTGATTTTATTTTCTCCATTCTTAATGCGCTTGTTTCTTGTAAAGTGGATTTAGTGCAGTCAAAAAGGAGCAGAAAGTCCTAAAGGCCTCACGCCCCAGCAAAGGCACAAACCTCCTGAGGTCCCTTCCAACCCTGATAGTCTCTGAGTCTATGAAATTAACGAGCAGCTTTTCCACTCTGTAAAGGCACATTGAGGGTATCCACAGCTGTCAATCCAGACCTCTCCAACAACAATAAGAGGAGGTGGGGGGGCGGGCTCAGTCCCTGTGTATCCATTCAGACCTTGGCCTCTTAGCTGAAACATCAAGGGTCTCAAAGAAGGCGGCCATATTGGTTAAAAAAAAAAACCCTGGTTGAGAGGGAAAGTAACAGCAGCTAGAAAATATGTAACAAAGCACAGAAAGGGGAAGTTGATAATAGTGACTATAAATCAGAAACTAGAACATTATTAGGAATTAGAGAACATTAATAAGGGAAGCACACGGACACAAGGAGAAATCTATGGCCAGCAGAATTCAGGACAATAAGGAGGAGTATATTAGGAACAAAAAGAATAGTCCATTCATTACTAGATGGAAATTGGAGACTTTATCAATAATAATGCCGAAAAGTTCAATAAATATTTTTGTTTTGTCAAAAAAAGATGTAGTCATCCCATAGAACGCTCTTTCCAGTCTACTAGTCTCTCAGGAGGATGCTGGACAGCAGCTGCTAAAGTCAGACAATTAAAAATCCGCAGGTAACGTGCATACAAGAGTTTGAAAAGAGCTGGCTGAGGTGCTCCCCGCACCATTAATGTTGATTTTCAGTGTTTTAGAAGACCAGGCAAGTTCCAGAAGACTAGAATAAAGCTGATGTTACACCAGTATTTAAAAAGGGTAAACGGGATGACCAGGGTAATTAGAGGCCTGTCAATCTGACATCTATCCCAGGGAAGATAGTGGAGCAGCTGATACGGTACTCGATTAATAAAGAATTAAAGGAGGGTGATATAATTAATGCCAATCAACCTGTTTATGGAAAATAGATCCTGTCAAACTAACTTGATATTTTTTTGATGAGATTATAAATTTGGTTGAAAAAGGTAATAGTGTTGATGCAACATACATAGGCTTTTGGGCACTTGATTTGATACCTCCTGACATTTTGATTAAAAAACTAGAATGATATCAAATGGAACTTGGTACACATTGAATGGATTAAAAGCTGCCTAACTGATAGGTCCCAACAGGTAATTATAAATGGGGACTCATCCTTGAGCAGGTGGGTTTCTAGTGGGGTCCCACAGGGATCAGTTTTGGCCCTACACTAACATTTTTCTCAATGAGCTGGAAGAAAACATAAAATCATCCCTGATAAAGTTTGCAGCTGACACAGAAATGGAGGGAGTGGGAAATAGGGAAGCGGACCGGTCACTGACACAGCGTGATCTGGGTCACAAGGCCGGGGGAGATGATCACCACGGGCTCTTCTGGCCTTGGCCTCTCGGTATCTATGGTAACAGCTGTGGCCATTGTCTGCGCCAGGTCCTTGCAAGCGGGGGGCCGAGAGCCTGTGGGGCTTTGGGTGCGGGTTGCAGGAAAGAGGCTTACAGCTGTTACCAGCCACCACCCCGGCAGAAGGGGGCAGCACCAGTGAAACCTCTGTGCCGCCAGCCTGGGGGGGAGGGGGTTACTGGGGGCTGGAAAGGCCCAGGCACCACAGCTCCCGTCAAGGCAGGATTGTGAGATGGCCACAGCCTCGTCCCCACCCCTCACTGGCCATGCAAACACCCCACCCTCCTCCTTCCAGCTGCACCCACAGCGACCCCTGCTAGGACCAGTGCAAATGCTCCCCTGGCACAGCTGTGTCCCACTGGGTGCTGAGACCTCCTGCTCCCCCCCGCTCACACAGTGCTCCAGCCCTGCTCGGGGCGGTCATGAGCCGAGCTGTCTGCCCTGCCTCGCTCCTCCCCAGCAGGCAGCAGGACGGTGAGGGGCAGATGGGGGGAGCGGCGCACAGGGCTGGGCCTCGCAGGCAGTGCTGGGGGGCAGGTGAGCTCCGGGCTGCCTGAGCACCGTTACAGCCAGCCTGGCCGGGGCTAGGAAAGCTCCTGCGTGGGTGGGGTGGGGCTTCCAGCGCAGCTCCAACAGGATCAGTCCAGCCCAGGAAGCCCCTCGTTTCCCTGGTGAGGCTGGTGCAGGAGGGGCTGCAGTGGTGGAACGGTGACAGCTGCTTCGGGCCGACACCCAGGGGTGCCGGTGAAGTACCCTACACCAGTGGCACAGGCTCTCCAGGCACCGAGCACCACAACCCCATCATGATCCAGCACCACGCAGGGCCTGGCTTCACAACTCCACCCAAAACGCCACGGGAGAAGCAGTGAGCTTCAGCCAGCAGGGACTGTATCCACCCCAGCCAGCCAGCCAGCCACTTGGCGCCCGTCCCCCAGCCCAGCTCTTCCTTGCCCGCCCAGGGGCAGCTCCCGGGAGGCAGGCAACTCGGCCCTGTCAGTGCCAGGAACCCAAAGCTGCCTTTGACTGCACCGGCGGGTGGGGGTGTTGCTCAACCCCCAGGAAATCGACCCTGGGGGGCTCACACTGCGCTCCCCTAACCCAAGCACCCACAGATGCTGGCCTTTATCTGGCTCTGCCCAGCCGCAGAGGCCATGAGGAGACAGCAGAACCCAGCCCTCCCGCACCCTCACCCCCTGCTCTAACCATTGGAACTGCTTCCCTCAACCCCCCTTCCCCCCAGCCAGTGAGACACAGGGGGCCAGGCTCATGCACTTTATTCACACCCGTACCCAGTGCTCCGGGGGCTGTGCCTTTCCCAGGCAGCAGCCTGCCTGCCCTGCAGCGGGGGGAGCCCAGCCGACCCCACTTGCTGCTGCCACCTCTTGGGACTCGCAGGGGGAGGTAGGCGCCACTGGCTGCTGTCCCGGCGCTGGGGGAAGGGACGGCTGATGTGCTGCACTGGCTTTACGTAGAAGAAATAAAGTTGAAGCCCTGAGAAAAGGGCCTGTCCCAGACTCTGGGCCCGGTGTCTCTCCATCCTGGGCTGAGGGGCCGGGCTGGCAGGGCCGAGGAGGGTGGGCACAGAGGAGATGCCAGGAGGACCCTGGGTGCTACGCAGGCAGGAGAGAAGCAGCGATGTAGGCGAGGCCTCTCTCCCCTGGTGCAGCCTGCACGGGGCGCCCTTCCTCACTGCTTTCCAGGCTCTGCTCATGCCTGCAGCCTGTGCGCCCTCACTCCAGTGATCCCTGCCTTCCGCCATTCCTGGCACGCTGCCCCGGCCTGCAGCACCCCACCCCACCCCCCCCGCCACTCTGCTGGGACAGCGCTTCCCGCGGAGCCCCCAGCCGCTCACACCATCCTGCCTGGCCCCTCCGGGTGGGGGCGGCTCTCTTCCTGTGTCCTGTGCACAAACACGCAGGCAGCTGGTGCTTAGCAAACACCTACCCCCGGTGCAGCAGGACGGCCTGCAGGAGCACAGCCCCACGGGGCAGAGGCTGGGGAAAGGGACCTAGGAAAGCTCTCTGGGGCCATCGGGGGGGCTGGGGATTAGTGCTCTGTTCCCCTGAAAGCGCCCCGCGGTCACCGTTCTACGCTTCCACCTGAGAGCCGGGGCGGGGCCTGCCCCAGCCATGGGAGAGAGCCAGCGTTCGAGTCCCGGCTCTCGCCCGGGGTGTAAGCCCAGCCCTGCCCCCTCCAGGCCACGAATGGCTCAGGCAGCAGCAGGGAAGGCCTGTCCCAGTTCGGTGCCACTGTGGCGGTGCTTTGGCTACTGGCCGCTCTGAGCTGGGCGCAGCCTGTCTGAGCTCGGCTGCCCAGCCTTTGACAGTCCAATAAATTAAGTGGGAGGAGGCCCGCGGCTCCGTGGCCTGGGGCCCGCGCCGGCCGCAGGGTCCTGGCTGGCTTGCCGGGCGCTAGAAGAGCTGCAGTAAGAACTCCGGTGCCCACTCCAGGGCAGTGTGTGTGACGGCCAGAGCCGCTGCCCCCAGCGTGGCTGAAATCCCCCACACGGCTGCTTTCACCAGCGGGCTGTGCCCGGCCGTGGGCAGGAGAGCAGTGGCTTCGGCGTGGGCGCTGTCCTGCTGCCGCTGTCTGCGCAGCACGGCGTCCGGGCGCTGGTGGGAGGTGGCCAGCTGGAAGGCAGTGAAGGAGCCTATGGAGATGCTGGGAAGAGACGGGGAGGGAGCCGGTTAGCGCAGAGGTGACATGCAGGGCTGGCCAGGGCGCTCCCCACCTAATGCCGAGATGCGCAGCCTGCACAGGTCCCAGCATGCAGCTCTCTTCCTGGCTGGCCAGGCCGCGCTGCATGGGGAGACCCGTCCTCCTCGGCTGCACTGCCACGTTAAGAGAAGGCAGAGGGGCATCTCTGAGCGCAACCCCCCGGCTTCTGGCTGTTGGCCAGGGCAGCCCTCGGCTCTGCCGAGCTGGACACCCTGGATGGGAGGGAATCGGACCGGCTCCAATGTCCGCCATTACGTCGCCGCCTAGGGGCCGGAGACCCACAGAAAAGCCATTCGCGCCAGTCCTCCCGCAGCCAGGGCCCTTCAGCTCTGGCAGTATCAGCCTGTGCCGCGGTCTGGGAGCCTCTCAGCCCCAGGGCTGCATGCGGGGGGCTGGCTCACCGCCGGCCTGCCAGACACAATGAGCTAAGAGGGGTGCCCAGTCCCCCCACGCCCCACCTGCTGCCGCTGCCAGCATGCCTGAGAGCTTGGCCAGACCGCCTGGTTTTCTCGCTGCTCCAAGGGCAGAGGGAAATCGACAAGGAGTTTAGGAACCCTGGCCCCCGGCAGCGGGGATGGTCAAGGAGGGGGGCAGCCAGCCAGCCCTGCAGCAGCTACATGAGCAATGGAAGGGAAGAGTTGCACCTTTAACAACACTCCTGCCAGGGTCCCGGGCAACCCCACGCCTGGGAGATCACTGGGGGCCGGGTGCACACCCAGCTGCAATTCGCCTCCCCCTCCCCCCGCAGCCCTGTCCTCCCTCACCTCTTGTGGTGGTGCAGAGCCGCCTGCTTGGCCAGCTCGGCATGCGGGTGACGCTGGAAGAGCCGGAGGGCCCGGGAGATGAGGCTCTCGTACGGAAGGTTCTGGGGTATTTGGGACAGAAGCTGGTGGACGCTGGGCATGTCGCAGTCACACGCCAGCACCTCCTCCTCCCGGTGCAGGACGATCTGCAGGGAGAGCGCGTCATTGTCCCATGGGACACGTGCGGCTTCCCAGCACGGCCACGGGGCTGGAGCCTTTGCAATAACCCACATCTCCCAGCCCCGACAAGGGCTCTCCTTGGGCTGCCCCTGCCACGCCCCCGTCACATGGTTCACAGTCCATCACCTTACCACGCCACTGACAAAACAGCCACCTCTGGGGTGGAGCACAGCAGCTGTTAAACAGTGAACAGGGACAGCACACACCAGCTTGAGACAGGCAGTAAAAGAGAACCCCGTGACCAGCTGGGAGCCACAGAACACAGTCACCCTCCTGGGAGTTGGGCTGGGACTCCAGGTTAAACAACTCGACTGACAAACTGCCAGAGGATCATCAATGGCCCGGACTAGAGGCACAGGACCTGGCACCGCACTGGGCTGGCTCCCCCTCTGAGTCACCCACCCACACCCTCCAGCAACTCAGAGCTCTCCCAGCCAGCTGCTGACCCGTCCCAGTGGGCTTAGCTTGTGTGATGGGCCAGGGGACAGAGCTGTGCTCGCCGGCCTGTGTTCGAGGGACAATGGGCCCTTCTGCCTTTGGAAGCGATGGAGGCAGGCTGGCGGCCGGTCACCTTCCCCTGCTAAGCCCCCCATGGAAGCGGGGTGCAAGGGGACAGGGCTCCCTCCCAATTCCACTCCCCTTGCTCCCCAGGCAGGCCGGGGCTGGGGGCACCACTCCACGGGGGGCTGGGCGCCGGGGCTGAGGACTGCAGTCGGACGTACCACGGCAGCAAAGTAGACAGGCATGAGTGGGTGCGAGGCCAGGAAGAAGTCGTAGAGGCGCAGGATGTGGGGGAAGCTGGTGAGGACGTGGCCGTACCACGTGATGAGCCAGCTCAGGGCAAAGATGGTCCCCACCTCCGCTCTGCAGACACGGGAGAGAGGGTCCTGCTCAGGCGCTGCCCATCTCCATCCTGCCAATACCCACCCCCAGGGCTGCCCCTGCCCCCCAACCCCATCCCGCAGCCCCCCACAGCACCCCACCCCTGCCCACCAACTCGCAGCCCCCACCCCCTACCCGCAGTCCCCCACTGCCTGCCAACCCGCAGCCCTCACCCCATCCTCAATCCACTACCCACATCCCCCAATCCCGTCCCGCAGCCCCCCACCCCGCCCCCCAACCTCTACCCGCAGTCCCCCA